AATGTCGGCCACCGTAGCCACGGTCGTACGGCTGTATTCCATACAGTGCTGCCAGTGTTACCGTTCTCCGGCTAGATATAGCCGGTTCAAATTGCGTTTAGTCGGACAAAATTTGGGTCAGCCGGCAACCCGTATTCTAGCCGATTTCGAATTATTTAAGCCGTTTTAGATTTTGCTTCCCCCCGGAAGCACCATTTCGACGGCTGAGTGAAAGGTCAACATATTTCGGCAGCCGGTTTGAAAACGCCCTTTCCCAGAAAAATTTCAATAACGTCATTGGTTTGAAAAACGCCCTTTAACCGAAAAATCCGGATTAACTCAATCGTGGCATGTTCTAACAGCTATGAGTTGATAGCTTTCCTTAAACATTTTTTATGGAAACTTTCGCTATCATAATTTGATCAAAAATTAATTTTAGATATGTTCCTTCCTTGAGTTGACAGATGTCAACCGAAAATGTTTGAATGTGATACGGAACCCGAGATCAGTGAGCCTTAAAACATAGTACTTTTAATTTGTGGGAAATTTTTCTTTATTTTTAGAGAAATTGACAGCTCTCCGAAAGTTGTAAACTCTTAAGGTTTTAATTTTATCAGTAGCATCTTAAAAAAGACTTGCTTATTTTTAGAAAAATTAACAGTTTATTTGACAGCTGTCAACTCTCACAAGTTTTAATTTGATATAAAATTCATGATCAGCATGTCTTTAAACCTATTTTTAGAAAAAATCAGTCCATTTGACAACCGTCAACTGTCAAGGTTTTACTTTTTCAATCTGTTTTAATCTTCAAAAGGATTTTCTTAATTTTAGAGAAATTGGTAGTTGATTTGACAGCTTTCAACTGTCAAACTATAAATTTTATGGCATATTCGGATTTAATATTGCAACAATACTACGATCCCGCAGTTTTGTTATAATCGTAACAATCCTTCTAATTTTTCGCGTAATACATGGCCTCTCCGTCCGCGTGGGCCAGTACAATTTTCATTTTTTTTTTTATCCATGCAATTATAAGTTCTATATTTTTTAACTTTGATTTCAGATAGTTGTCTTGTTTAATAAAATATTAGACTTTATTAATTTATTAATGGCCTTATTCATAAAAAATAAAATAGGTTTAAAGAGCTGATAAAGTGACATTTTCATACAAATTATCGATTTATACAGTAGTAAAAATCTTCTTCATTTTTTATGAATTTGGGTCTAAAAACTTAAACAAACTAATAAATGAAAAGTGCGAGGATGTGTGTGTTGCTTGATTAGTTTTATATGAATACATTACTTACTAAATCTTTGCTAAATAATCGAACAAAGATTTAGTCGAAATCTTGAAAACTAAATGAGATATCCAAAAACTGATAACATCAATCGAAAGATCTTATTTCAAAATATTGAACTGCATCTAGAATTAAAAATCGTCAAAATTGCGCTTACTTTATCTTTTATCCAGGCGACGTTCTGTAAACTCCTCTAACACGCTTATTTCCATCGTGAACAAACAAGATTTGGCAACTCTCCAGCAAAGGTATACCGAATTTGGAATGCTGCTCTTGCTTTGTATCTATTGCTGTGTGTTTGTTTGTTTGTTGGTCATTTAGCTCAACGCGCATGACGTTGTTGCTGTTTTTGTCGCTATGTGATCAACAACTGTTCGCAGCGGCGAACTTTGTTGCTGTTGTTATGACCGCCAACGTCGCTATTGCCCCTTCTGCTGCTGCTACACTCGGATTTGTTGTTATCAACTTTATGTGCAAAGAGGTAAAATATGTAAACAGAAATGTTTGCAAGAAAGAGACCGAAACCGAGTTCAGCAGTGGCAGCGACGACGAACGGCGCAGTGCTCAAGGGCTTCAAGTGCAACGAAAGGATATACATACAGTATACAGTAAAAGCGAATGGGTGATAAGGCGAAAGAAATGTAAAAATCACCGCTCAGCTGATGGCAAGGATAGTGTGGATAGCAAGGAGCGACAATTAACCAATTAACATTGTAAACAACAACTAATAGTTGTGGTTGTGTTTTACTGGTTAAACAGCTGAAGAGCAGCAATTATGTCCATATGTTTGTTTGTATGTTTGCTCACAAAAAAGCTGGGCACATGGAGTGTCAAAAATGTTGACTCAAAATCATGGCGAAGTGGCCCAACAACAAAGTGTGATGCGGCCATTTCGCCAATACCAAGAATTCGTCCATTAAAGGTAAAAAATCATTAAAAGTAGTGAACGTTTCTCCAGTCACGCGCGTGCAAATCTTTAATTTTTCTATTGCTGCTCCTAAAATATTTTGTCGCGTTTCTATATATGTATATTTATTAAGCTTTAAAGTACGTAATACCAGTTTTATTTCAAGGCATTGGAAAGGAAGTAACATTTCAATACATAGTGGATTCGTGATACACTTGCTCCATGGCCTTTTGTACCCAAGAATGTAAAGATTTTATTTCAACAGTGTTTTTGTTTTTTTTTTCTGTGCTATACAAAAGTGGTTCAATCGTGTAAAATCAGTGCATCCTTGTTTCACTGCATTGAACCAATATCAAATCCGGAGTCAGGATAATAAAACGCCATACCAATCGAGCGATCAGTTAACCAGGCTCACTCAGGACGAAGCGACATCTTCAAGGAAGTTCCATATTCCTTTTGAGTTGCTAGAGTGAGAAGAATATTAAAGGTTGAAAAGCGCATACATGCATCCAACTAAAGTGAACAGCAACCTCAAGAAGCTGTCTGTCTGCCTTGGCGCCATTACCAGCTGTATGACTCCTCCAGAAATCAAAGCATCCTTTTTCGCCTTCCGCGCAATTTTCTTCACTTTCCTCTGAGTCGTTTGCCATTTCCACTTGTTCTTTGCTTTTTGGTGGTGCATACGTTCGTTTTGCGGCCTGCAATTGCACCCGTTTCTCTGCAAAGATTGAGTGATAATTCGTCTGTGTTCTGTAGTTGGCTCTCTGCATTGAGTTTCTGAGAAATCAGTTGTTTTTCTCTCTTTTTGCATTCCATTTTGCGGGCAATTGAAAACTGACCAGTGTTGCCACTTTGTAAGTAATTCCTCAAAACGTGAGGAATTTTGATTGCACTTGATAGCCCGAACACAATGAAAACGACTAGCTACGGACCACAGCTGTCAAATTATTTTAACACGTACTCTTATGTAGATAATTATTTTGGCGATGACCGGGCTACGCGACGACTGTGGTTGTGGCCAGATTATACCTAATTCTATTTTTCCAGCGACAGATAAGGTTCATCCTCTTCTTTTATGTCAAACTCGTACAAATTCATGATTTCACTGCCGTGTTCAAAAAATAATGTCGCCATCCGACAAAGCGTTTAGATAATGAAGATAACAAGTTTTAAATGTGTTGAGAACTTGAGGATTTTTATTTTGAGGAACTTTCTCTCGATATATTTGCAGATAACAAATGCAACCATGTTTAACGCAACAGAGTTGTTAAATCGTTCTGGAAATTTCTGAATAAGAGCTTTTCGAAGTTTTATTAGGAGCGAAATACACCACTCAAGCGGCTTGTTTAAGATTCTTCAAACCTACTTTTCGCATTTCGCCATGCACTATGCGAACATGACTCGTTTAAGTAAAGAATTTTAGTTTTTTTCCGGTTTACAATGTAAATCATGATAAAAATATAGTATGTTTTTATCATGATGTAAATTAGTTTGGTTTTCTTCGATTTTTCTCTCTTGCGTCAACATGGTGGTCAGAAAATCAATCGTTATATTTTGAACTTCTGAAAATCTCGATTTCAAATGGAGAGAACACGCACTCTTTGATCACAAGAAGATTCATATTGATTTTTCATTCGATCCAGAAGATTATAGGAAAAAAGGTTTTGAATTAAAAGGTTCCTCTTGTTCATAGAAGGTTCCCAATTAAAAAAAAACATATGTATGTGCATTACTAATATAGCCATTTTCTAATGCTTTAGTAGAACGTATATTTAGTAGTTTAAAAATGTGTAGGACTGACTTGAGAACCAGATTGAACCTTGATATAGTAGCAGCAATATTATAGCAAAGCATAAAAAATAACGGTGATACTTTGTTTGAGCCGCAAGAACAAATGTACCAATTGAATGAATTGGAGAATGTAATTAATTTTTATACTAAGTACCAGTAAACAGTAGTACATAATACAAATATCTGTAATAAGAAAATTTAGAGTAAATTGTCGGATTTTGAGGATTTTTCAATTGTTTTTTTTTGGAATTTGGCAATGTATTTGTGGCAACACTGCAACTGACTTTTTATTGTTGGTGCAGTGGTAGCAGAGCTGCTATTTCCCCTCTTTTGCGCGTTGCAGAATTGAGTGGATAATGTAAAATAGAGCGCGCGTAAAGTTTTGTATAAAAGGCGCCTTTATGTGAATGAGTGAGTTAGTTCGAGTTTTTGCTTTGTGGTGTGGTGTCAAGTAGTTGGTGTACTTGCTTCGTGCGCCTTGCCAACCGCCTGGTCACTCCAAAATCATATCCGACATTCAATTTGAAGTGAATCAATTTATTATATTCAATGCAATTTCCTTTGAAACGTATTAAAAATCAGAAAACTCAACTCCTCGGGACTATAAGCAATATTGAATTGATACAAAATGATATAGAACATATGTGGTTTATTAAGTACTTAAGAACGAACAATCAAAATTGTAAGAAGCAATTGTGGTGGACATTTTGCATAAAGGTTCTAAAAATTGTAAATTTTTTTTAAAATCAAGTATGAGAATCGCCCAGCTATTTGGCTAGCAAAAGGACTTCAATTAATAACGAAATAGTAAATAAAACAAGTGAAATTAACAAAAATAAAATGCAGCAACAGTAATTAAAGTGCACAAACCAGAGCTGATGAAAGCAGCAGCACGTGAAGGAGTTTAAAACAAAGGAGAGTGAAGCCGCTGAAAATTGTGTTCTAGCAATTTTCAGGAGCACAGAACCAACGATAGTTAAAATTAACGCCCGACATTTTAGTGCCGGAATATTTTGCCATTCTGTAATTAAGTACAAAAGTATATAAAACTACAAAATGCTGTGGGACGCAATCGCAGAAGAGACCAGTGGTGACATGGCCATGGAATTCACAAGGTAATTTTAAAGCAATGAAATAAAAATTCAAAAAAAAAAAATATTTTAAACGGAAACTAAAAATACAAAATTTATTCTTTCAAACGGAAACTAAAAATAAAGGCAGCGTAAAGGGTGTAATAGGTGTCAGATGAGAAATATAAAATAAGCCTGTTTCCTTTAATAAACCATATGTGAACGTGGCATACGGGAATGAATTTGGGCTAAATCCTGCAAAACCTGCACATCCTAGACGTTCTGGATCGCACTGAATGTGTGGGCTCTAATTACCATTTAAATTTTATCTCGGGAATACGTGTTTTGTGCAATTCAAAATTATGCGCATACCAACGAAATTTGATGAAGCTCGGAGAGCAAGTGCATCAAGTTGAATTAAGTGAAATTAGAAGCTTTGGTAGACACTTTTGAAAGTTTTCTTGCTCAAGAAGGTCCAAAGCGCCAAAACTATGTATGTACCCATGATTCAGGGAGCAAGAAAACTGTTTTTTGAGCAAACCTTTTATTATTGAATCATGGTATGTACCTATGTTTGTAAAATATAAAATTTATCATGATTTATGTATTTTGAAATGAACTTCCAACGAATACTGACAATGAAGATGGCACGACGTCCATCCGTCCGGTTTGTCTCCAAACGAAACTTGACAAAAGGATCGGAAGTTCATTCGAAACTATAGTACTTACATATAAGCTATCCCCCTGTCGAAAAAATTAACCAACAAAAAAATTTACGATTGATAATAAAAAGTCCATTTTAACCATTATGTGTCCAATAGCAAAAGTTTTTCTTCGATAATTCGAATGTAAATGCAAATGAATTTCGTTTATGAATATATTTTTAAACCTGGATGGTTCCCAATAATTTTTCTACATACATGGTCATTTGAAAAATAATTGGGGCGCGATATTTTGACTACTTTTTGCGATTCTTCGTTTGTTTATTAATGATTACCTATTATAATTTTTTTTTATACAAATACTGCTCATTATTTAACAAAAACCGTTTAAGTCCAAATTTCAATCTTTGTAAGAAATTAGAAAATTAAAAAAGAAAAAATGTTGCATAAAACTTTAATAAGATTTTTTTTAATTCTCGCTTAATAAAGTGCTAGTTTCAGGTGGTTAAGAATTCACGTCGATTTTTGATATTTTTTTTACCGATTTTAGTAAATACTTATGCATCAAAAAAGCCAAAACTGGTTAAAATGTCGCGTCACATGAATAATTGTATACGCTGATTCGTCGACCAGGCGAAGTCGACTTTTAGAGACGTTTTTTAGTAAAACTATTAGAATTCTAAAAATCCATAAATTTTTATTTCATAGAGGAAATGTATGTACATAGGTACTTACATATATATATTCTTTTACTAGAGCTATGCCGGTTGTCTGGTATATATCCGGCCGTTTTTAGATTATTCGACTATCCGGCCGGATACTGCTGATATCCGGATTTCCGAATTTTTACTCAAGAAATTTTTATTTGAAACATTTTTTCAAAAAAATATTCTTCGTTTTGAAAAGGTTTTCCACATTAAAGGGCAATACCCGATGCACGAAACATTCTTTCTGAGTTCACTAAAGAGGTGGGGCGCAGAGGTGTAGTTATTGCAACATCATACAAACTCCTGAAAAACCCTTTGACTGAGATACCTAAGTTGACTTTTTCTTCCCTAGAGTGCGGTATTTTTCGCAAGATTCAATTGGTTCCTCCATGGAAAGTGATTTATCATTTCTAATAAGTTCACCAAAACCCAGCTGTTGTTGTGGTTACAGCATACAAATTCCCCAAAGAGTTTTTGGGCAATGATGCTGGAGTCAAAGTCCTTGGCCAGATATACAGTATCGGTCATATCTATAGCACGCAATTTCAAAGTGATATTGTGTGCCACTTATGTTTATTTATTTATTTTTAAGAATTTTCGATTAAAATACAGTTCCTTCTCTAACAAAACCCATATAGACCAAAGTTTAACAATTTGTAGAAAATTTCAAAAAAGTGCAACAAATTTTCACCTAAATTTCAAACTTTTTTCTCGGAAGTGTTTGAATTTTTCTGAATACACAGTTTTATAGCCCAATCAATTTTAGTCTGATAATGTGCAAGTTTCAAGTGGCTAAAAGTTACCGTTTATTTTTTAGAATTTTTTTCGCCAAACGTGTTGCGGTTTTCTTCCATATACAAATAAATTGAGTTTATTCATATTATGGAAGCCGATGCGACAAAAAAAAAAATTAAAAAAATCAATGGTAATTCGTAGCCATTTGAAATTTGCACATAATCAGACTAAAATTGCAGTGGCTACAAAACTGTGTACTCAAAAAAATTCTAACACTTTCGGGAAAAAAAAGTTTCAAATTTGGGTGAAAATTTTTTACACTTTTTTGTAGTTTTCTACATATTGTTGAACTTGGGTATATATGGGGTTTGTCTGGGAATGAACTAAGTTTTAATTTAAAATTCTTAAAAATAAATAAATACACATAAGGGGCACACAATATCACATGGAAATAGCGTGCTATAGATATGACCGATACTGTAAATCTGGGTCGATCCTGTTATGTAGACCGGACTGTCGTGGGAATAGGCACTGAGTATAACAATACTCTGAAATTCATTAGGAATAGCAGTCCAGTCTCCCGACTAAAGTATTCCATATGTGTACGTTAATTCGACGAGAACGCGCGAAGTCAATTTTAAATCATTATTAGTAAAAATATGTGTTTATGTATGCACATATGTATGTATGTATTTGAATTGTATTTAGGTACGTACATACATATGTATGAAGGATTTTATATACAAAAAAATCAGTAAATTTAATTAAATAAAATTTCAATTAAGGCCTCTAGAATAAATTATATTTTGCTACTTTTTACAAACGGTGTTCTTCAGCCATTCTACGACAGGTATCCAGGGTTAAATTCACGACTGGCACGTTTATAAATAATTTTAACAAAAATATGGAAGACAATAGGGGTATTCTCTGAGTTTTGCAAAGCCCTTGCAAGGTGCACGGATTGCACGGTTTGCAAAGCTGTCCCATAAGAAAACCGGTTTTTGCCGTGCAATCTGTGCACCGTGCAAGGGCTTTGCAAGACTCAGAGAATACCCCTAATCTCTTTAGCAGTTACAAGATTGGGATTGCATAGGAACTAATTGGGAAATGTATCCGAAGTGTTGGGGGTCCCTTGATTCCTTAAGGTCATCGAAAGGTGTTCCCCTATTTGACTTTCAACAGACCACGAACCTGACGTGATGGAGGCTAAAATAAATCCACGCCTCTGCCTTTCAAACAGAGCAGCAGAGCAGAGCGCCTACTTTCCATTGCCGCTCTCGCTAGTCAAGCGCAAGTTCCAAGTCGCCAACTTTACAAGCAATCACAACTGAACTTGAACTCCATTCCAACGGTTTCAGCGTGTAGATACTTTTGTTGTTACGACGTGTTTATCTTTCTTCCTCACTTCGCTGTTCGCGAGTTCACTTCAACAGGCTGACAGCAGTGTTGCCGGAAGTCAGATTTATCTTAAAAATGAAGATATTTTTCATAAATAATCAGAAACGAAAGAAAAAGATAATTACAGCTGGAGTTTCCACAGCAGCACTTGAATTTTTCTTTTTGATAGTTGGCAACACATTTTTTTCGTTTTTGTCATCAATTTACTGCTGCAATTGCGAAAGTAGGCCAGCTTGAGTTCTATTGTCAAATATGGATAGGAAAAAAGTGAAACGTTGAACTGTACCCATTGTATACACCGTGGCTTTTGGTAATTTGCACTGGTAGTTGACAACAAACCTTTGCTTTTTTGTCACAAATTTACCTTACAGGTAGATATTAATATGTATTGAGTTTTATGAATATGGTATATTTTGTGTACTATTTTCATATATTTGTATAACAAATAAAATAAAATCTTCAATTGAGATATCGTCACTACACACGAATAAACGCGCGATAGTGTTTTGACGGCGAAAAAAGGCGTTCTTACGTTTTTTTTTGAAAATTTTACCATCACTAGGAGAATTTTTTAACAAAAATTTTCTGGCAACACTGGCTGGCCGGCCGGCTAGCCGTTGCTGCGGTCGATCTCCCCATTAATAAGCCAAAGAAAGTGAGAGTTCTGAGGTATGCTTTTTATAACGCCTTTTTGCTGTTGCTTTTATATCGTTTATTCTTTCCAAATACACACATAGTATGTATATATGTAAGTATTTTAAGGCTTTAGTCGAGAAGTAGTATAAACAGTTGTACGTACATATTTTTTCACTTTTTAATTCCACATTTGGCTTCGTTTGTTTAATGTTGTAGCACACAAATGTATCCAACACCGTTGGATTCGTCATTTCCTTCTCAGACTGTGAGGTTTAGCGTCTTAAGCTGCACCATGGAATGGTGTAGAGTTGGTCATTTGGAGCGTGACCAAAGCGCGTATGGTGGTGTATTAGCACGAATACATTGCACATCACCTTAAATTGTTTTGATTTGTATTCCTACAATAGCATCCCCTGTTTTAGTTATGCCACAAATGCAATTGGTATGTACACCAAAACTTTGTCCATTGAACGGTGCGCTCGCCTTTCTGGCGGATGGCGAAGGTGTTTTCCGCCTTCACTTGGCAGTGCGTCGGGGACAGTTGACTTGCGGTTCTGTGTTTTTGCTTGTGGTCTTACTTATTTCTTGTTTTGCACATTCATTCCCTTGTTTTCACTTCACTGCGCTACTGTTGCTCGCATGTACATACGTACAACTTCCTTATTAAGTTAACGACCTGGTCTAATAATATTTCCGCTGCATGCTGATCGCTTTTTCTTGCACAACCTTGGCACCTTCGTTGTTTACTTTATTCTATTTCCTATTAGCTTATTTGTGTTTTAGCTGAACGTGGCGTGTACGGTGCAGCCATTAGAGCTGGGGAAGTAAGGCAAACTTCCTTTTTTTTCTGAATGTTCGTTCCTCCCTTGAAGCTGAGCATGCAGCGTGACTTTATAGTTTTTTCTCAACTTGCTTGAAATTCTTAGGGAATAACTTGAGTTTTGGTGCATGAGCTCGACCACTGCCTGCCGTAATTGTCGTCGCTGTATTTGAAAAGTACGAACTCGTAGTTGGCTACTTCCTTGTTGTTTCCGCGTTCTTGCGGTTCATTTTGAGTCCATTGGAGTAAGTCAATCAGTCAACCATTCATTTATTCCTTTATTTTATTTTTTTTTGTTTTGCTGTTATGTCAATGGCCAGGTTGGCAGCCAGCCGGCACAGTCGCAACATCTGCGAGGCGCTGCAATTCATATGGGTATGTACTAGGGTGATTGACTCGGTTTTTCCAAACCGGTTTCCTCCGGTTTTTTGGAAATCTATAGGTGTTTTTTTGAGATCCTGATTTTTCGAATGTCGAACAAAAGGAATGTTTTGATCAAAGAAACCGGTCTTTTCATTTCAAACAAATCCAATTAAAGCTTTAAGTTTTTCGAAGTCTTCCCGTTTAAGGGAAGCCCCTAAACAGTTTTAAAACTATATACCAGGATGCTCGGGGATGAACTGTATATCATGTTAGATTTCAGTAAATGAATGCTTGGCGCTTAAAAGTTTTTTACGTGTTTGGCGGAGCTTTTCTTAAAATTCGTGTTCTAATTTTTTATTAGTTTTGATCTAAAAAACACTTGCACTTATTTTGCTTTGATGTTTTCTAAGTAAAAGCTATCTTTCCTGTTTATAGTTTTATTATAAATAATTTTTGTCCATGACTCGATATCGAGGTTAGCATTTTCAACGTATTAAAACTACGTAAAATAAAACTGGTTTATCCTTTCTTTATTTCAATATCGGCAACCGGTTTTGAAAAAAGGCGAATAATCGAATACCCTAGTATGTACATATGCATATATCGATGTACATAAGTACATATGTCCAAATGTACCGCTGCTGACGGTCTCTAATTCTACGCTGCTGCGGCTGCTCCTGCACTGAATTCCATTCACAGTATACATACATACATTCAAATGTACAAATACGCTTGTTCCAAGTCTACTCGTGTATACACACATATGTATGTATGTGTGCTCGGAAATGTTGTCGCCCTCTGCTGCTTTCAGTCAGTATTCCCCCATTTCGTCGATCAATATCAGACCCGGCATTATACTGTTGTTGTTTTCATCGAATGCAACTCGAGGCCAGGGACTGATATTCTCGCATGGCACTGAGGGTACAGTAATTCAGCGGCGTTTTGGTGTAACAAGCGCTCCTTGCACGGTACACCTACCTATGTACATACATACATTTGTATGTGTTTAGCTGCAGCATTTGTATGGTCTTCTATTGTAGTTCCAGTTGCGTTGTTTTTATGAACAACCCTCCCATACATACATATCTGCTTATACTGTGTTAGTTTGTGGGTTGAATTTTTCTTGTTCTTAATTTAATGGTGTTGTTGGTGTTTAGTATATCCACCACCGCCGCCGCCAGCACCAGCTCTGTAGCACTATTGGCAACCACAACAGCAGAGCTCCCTGCTATCATCCTACTATTTGATACCATAAATAAATGCATTTACAACTGTATACATGCACGGATATGCTTGTAACTTACAGCGCATGTGTACAGGCCAGTTCAAGTTGAATGAACCCACCGCCTGCACATGCACTCATACATGCACACAGCTACTTTGAACGTCAGCTGCCTGCATGGGCTTGCGCCGTCTAAGCAAGCTGGTGGTTCACTCAACGCTGCTTAGTCCAATTTGATTCAGTACTATTTTGTGTGTCCTGTGTAGTAGTGCGCTTGAATTTGTTCCAAAGGATGTTGCCCGCCGTGTGGCTTTTTAGATGCCGCAGCTCCAATGCCACCACCCGCGCTGTTAGCAATGTCAATGGCGCCTACTTTTTGATTTGTTTGTAAATACCTGCCAATTTTCTCTGTTTATTTCTTTTCACTACTTTTTCAATAATTTTTTCCCAAATTTCTTCAAAACTTTTTTAATGTCGAATTTGTTCTTCTCTGTTTGTTTGCATTTTAGTTGTCAATTGCCACACGACTTGAATTCTGTCTCGGTCGCTGCCAACAAAAACGCTTCTCCCCATCATCACGAACTTGCCATTATGAACAGCTCGCTACATGAGATGGCTGTCGATCATCAGTTGTCCTTATACAATGACGATGAACGGGTTAATGAGCTTCAAGAACAACGCTTGCGTTCGACGGCTTTCGAAATGCCCCTACAAATGGGTCTGCTTTCACCAGAAGGGTCGCCGTGTCGCTTCCAATTCGAGCAAAAGTCCGGAGTACATACACATGAGCGAGAGCTTATCAACAATAGCGAAAACAACCATAATCGCCAATCAATCGCGTCGCGCCTACAGAAGCTACCAAATACCAATATCCATGCCAACGGCAGCAGTAAAGGTTCCCCAACGGCTGCAAACAGCCTGCGCATTTTTCACAGTCTTTCTTCTGGTTCGATGGGGTCTTCATCGATGGAGGAGGACTACATGGAACTCTTTGAAATGGAGTCACTCGAACATTCGCTGCAGCCAGCGAATTCGATGCCTAAAGTTCCCAGCGATTTGGATTCGTTGTTCATTGGCCAAATCAAAAGTTTCTTTTCACCCGCACACCGTCCAGCCGAACAGCCAAAATTGATAGAATCTTTGAAAACGCCTGAAATGCGTCGACCCCCAGTACGTCGCTGTCTGAGCATGACTGATAACTGCTTACCGGCGCCAAAGACACCTGAGACACTGCTTAAACAAGTGCAAGAGACTGCAACAAGTCCGTTCGGTGCCAAACAGTTAACAGCTGAGCGTAACAATACCACCCTTAGCTACTGTTTCAAGCGTCCTGACCCACCGTCGAAGACCACCTCACCCCTACAAATCAAACGGTACCGCGTTGAAGCGGATAAAGAAAATCTCAACGATTCTTTGACAATGTCGCTGGCTGTACTGGCAACGCCGCAACCTAAGCTGAGTCATCCCCCTCCATTGCGCAAGAGCATGTCAATGAATGATGCTGAAATCATGTCTGCGCTAGCTCGATCCGAAAGCAAGGATGAACCAGTTCTAATCGGTGACTTCAGCAGGCCATTTGCACTGCCGTTGATGGAAGGTCGGCATCGCGATCTGAAATCGATTTCCTGCAACACCATGGCACGTTTACTGCGCGGTGAATTCGATGATGTTGTGGCCTCCTACCGCATTATCGATTGCCGCTATCCGTATGAGTACGAAGGTGGCCACATACGTGGTGCACAAAATTTGTACACGCACGAACAGATTATCGAAGAGTTCCTGACGCAGCAAAAGTCTGAGGATCAGCAGAAGGCAAGCAATGATAATCGCCGCAACATTATTATATTCCACTGCGAATTTTCATCGGAACGTGGACCGAAATTATCGCGTTTCCTCCGCAGCACCGATCGCGAACGCAATACGAATTGTTACCCAGCACTCGAATACCCCGAGATCTACCTGCTGCACAATGGTTACAAAGAGTTCTACGAGCAGCATTCGGATTTGTGCGATCCCGACGCATACTGTCCCATGTTGGAGCCAGCTTACAATAGCGCGTATCGCCATTTTCGCTCCAAGTCTAAGTCGTGGAATGGCGATGGTGGTTTGGGTGGTGCAACTGGGCGACTAAAGAAATCTCGTTCACGACTAATGCTGTAGGATGGAAACAACAAGCCGGAGCCAGAGAAGCAGCTGCAGCAGCCTATGAGACAATTAGAAATTAGTAAATCCGGTCAGTCGTCGCAAAGCCCTAAAATATGAGCATATACATACATATTTGTTTATACAATTGCAAAGCAGCAGAGAAGGAGCGTGGTTGGCGTTAAAATGCTGCCGGCAGCTTAGGCAAAGCGACGACGGATCTACATAGTGGACGTGGCGGTTCGAGTCGCCAAGGAGCAGGGTTGGGAGAAGAGCAAATTTACGAATGCAGTACAAATTCAAAGCTCAGCTTTAAAAAAGGCTAAAATATGAGTATTTGTACCAACATATCAATGTTGGTCTCCCACCGCCAACTCCCAATACCAGAGTATAGGAGCAGGCACACACACATTCGCACTCACACTAAACTATTATTTACATACATTCATAAATACAAACATGCAACAACAAAAGCACAATCACCCAACCATTGATGCGCCCCTTTTGATCATACTACAGTCATTCATCAACTTTACATTCACTTGGTTTTTGTTGAATTTTTTTATTCGATGTTTTATGTCCTATTTGGATTTTATTTTATAGAAACGTTTTTTATACAACTCAACACTTGTGTGTGTGTGCATTGAATGCACTTCAATGTTTATGTGTGTGTGTGTGTATGTGCGTGTATAATGTACATAGATGTGTGTACATAAGTAAAAAATACTAATAATATTTAATGTAAAGTACTAAGTCACTGGAAGTGAATGTAGTATACGTGTGCGCGTCTGCGTCTTGATGTAAATATATATATGCTTAAGCATAATAACGCAACGTTTATAAAAATGCTTAAAATATTAATTTATTTGCTATGAATAGCTTTAGTTAGCTTAATTTAATTTAGTTGATATATGTATCTGTAGGCGAGCGCAGGCATAGACGCACGCCAAAGACATACATTCATATGTACATATGTACAAATAAACACACTCGTCCATTGTAAATTTTTGTGTGCGCAAAAGCATTTCAACTTATTTAGATAAAAAAGTATAAAGAGTAATACCAATGTATATGTACTATATTTGTCTAGTGAAATTCATGTATTCATTCTTAAAAAAAAAATGCAAATGTAAAAAAATGCTGCTTAACATTTTTGAAATTCGAAATTTGTGCATTATTATGTAATATTTTAATGTGTACAAACGCAATTTAGAAAACAGAAACGAAATTTCCTTTTAATGCGAAAAATGTAATGCAATTTATTTTTATACGCATATAATTTGTTTATATACACACATACACATATGATCATTACTTAATTTTCTTGTTTATTTTCGGTAAATTTTTGATTATATAAATTGATATGATTTTTGCAAACTACATATTCATTCAAATTCATTTTCGATGTGAAATAGCGCATACATATGTATATCCCCATCAGAAATATTAAAATGTAACAATTCGCTTGATGTATATATGCATACATTCATACCTACATACATATGTATGTACTGATGTACGCACGAACACCCACAAACATAAACACGATCGAATGCACGCACATGTAAGGCTGCAACGAACGCCAGCTGCCAGCTATTAACGGTTGCCGTTGTAGTCAAACAAATTCACCGTAAAGTTAAAAACAATTACGCTTATTTTATGTTATAAGAACCCCTTTTTTATTTTTAAAGCATAGCTTTCTTTTTCCTATAAATAATTAAAAAAAAATGCAAAAAAAAAACAAAAACAAAAGAAATGCAATACAAAAATAGAAAGTAAATATGTAATAAAAAAGAAATATATAAATTTTTATAAACAAAAACATGGCTTTAATTACAACCATAACAAAAACTATTTTGATATTTTACTTTGAGTGGCGAGTAGAAGAATTAATGCACTTGCTTTGGGGCTTGAAATAAGCGTGATTGTCATGACGGCTTCTACTTCGAAGTGAATAACACTGGAAATAATTATGATCAGAGTTAAAAAGACTCATTCGAATGTTCGAATTTTGGTGAGAACCGTAACAGACCTCCCTAATTTTTGCGCTAAGTTTTGCACTAATTTTTGAATCGCCAATACTTTTAGCTATACATACATATTATTTTTAACTTTGGTTAACTAATATTTTTCAATATTTACATATGTATTTGTTTACTTTATTATTTTTTAACCACTTCGCCAGCACAAATCAAAGCCAAATTTCCCTTTGAGTTGTTTGCGTTGACTTTAAATTTTTAACTGTGATTATATTTTAAATGTTATTAATTGTTTTTTTTTTTCGTTCTCAATCCCATTTGCGTTTACCGACTGTCAATATTAATCTAAACGAATGGTGAAATAAATACATATATTTGCTACATTCACAAATTTCAAACTTGGTGTCATATTTTGCATTACATAACATCCCTAGTGTGTTCATAGCTCTAAAGTATACTTAAATAAACATAAATTTTAACTAATAACATTTTTAGGTTTCCAAATGGTATGTACATATGCCACGAGTTTGTTTTTTAAATAAAAATTTCGAAAGACAAAAAGTATGTATATTTTAGTAGATATGAATGTGTTTTACTTTATATGGCTAGGGAGGCTGATAGTAAATATCTTTTGAAGTGAGGGTTTAAAGCGCTGGCACTCAAAGACGTAGCGTAAAAGGTTGACGGACGGAGAAACCGGTGAGATCGGGATCTGTTCTGATGGACAGCCAATCTTAAAACGCTCCGTCTCGCAAACTTAATAGAATGTCTGAAATTATGAGGGGATCCATCACGATGAATTAATTCTTCCCCAGGAAAGGAATGGGAATGCAGTGAAGGACATATTTAGTTCAAGTAAACTGAGTTTAAATTGAACAGCTGGCTGACATTTGATTGGCTGATCTCAGTTTAAATCAGATCGGGCGTTTAAACTGACTTTGAACCACGGTCGTGCACTGAAAAACTGGCCCTATATCATTTCGATCCCTAACGGGTCCATCAATAAAATACAGTTAAAGCACATGTTCATACATAGTAGGTACACTGCCGGAAAAAGTATTGACACAAATAATTTGCACAATGTATGTAAACATTTATTTTTATAAAAGTATATTTTATACTTTGTGCAAAATTGAGGAAAATTTAATTGCGTCAGCAAAAAAAGCAAAAAAATCTACATTAATTCCTGAAGATTTGATAATGCTTTGGCTGCTCATTTGTAATTTATAAGCAAATCATGCAGAAATCAAGTAATTTTGCTTTGTAAAATCTGTCTATAAATTAAATAGAAATCAGAATTTATCATAAATCAAGAACCAAATAAAGAAAAAAAAGATTTTGCCTTTATTTTAACCCCCACTGTTGAGGAAATCAGCCTCATTGCATAAGTCGTAAATTATGCTAAATTGTACGACTCGAGAACACATGCATTGTCTACTGTCGTCCTGAAATAAGTAGACGATGAAAATCGTCGAAAACTATGTAGCTATGTGCTGCCAAGTTTTTCCGTTTTAATACACTAGTCGAGTGGGAATTTTGGGCAATTATGTGAAACTTTCCATACGGTCGGCCACATAATTTATGTTTTATATATACATACATATGTTATCTAGGATGCCCTAGGCCACCTGTCCACCCTTTCGAAAATGGAGGAAACGGTTTTTATTGGAAAGCGGAAAAGTATGAATCACCAAGATGCTCTTTGTCGCATTACCGACTTCCGATTTCGACCGAAATGGGGTTAAACAGCCCGTTTTTAACCGGAAGTAAATTCGATAATAGGTGTCCAATCTAAACCGGAAGTCGGTAATACGACCAAAAGATTGACCATCCCCGATTTTATAGTTCATATTTTTTCGTTTTCCAATAAAAAATATTTGCCTCCATTTTAAGAGAGGTGGACGAAAGGTCTAGAATACCCTGTACACGTATGCAGACCTGTTAGAAATGATAACACAGCAATTTTAAAAGGAAATTCATTTCCTTACCGAGTGCAGTGGTTGCGGTACGTATTTCTGGATAATATCTTTCTGTTTGTAGAGATGTCTTCTGATGTGCCTGGGTGGAGTTTTCGCTTCAAGCAAGTACAATTTCGGTTGCTAACGTCTGTAGCAACCGACGAAGAACTGCGCTCCTGAATTCGCATTCTTAAAATATATTGAAACGGCCTAGAGAATTTATGGACAATTGTTTAATTTTAGTTTTAGAGGACATATAAGAACGCTAGAATGAAACGCCGAGACACGTAAACTTAATTTTGGATTGTAGATTACGGATCTGTATACCGTTTTTCTAGAACAGGTAATTTTCCCAAGATATTTTCAACTTACGATTGCATTACGAATTTAAAAAAATCCAGCTTTAACATGGAAAATGTTACTCACACGACATGTAGTACATGGCGTAATATTTTTTCCTGCTGATATGTATGTATTTCATCAAAAAGAAAATCATTACGCATTTTCCTTTGTCCATTCACAACTTTTTTATTTGTCTATCGATTTTCTTCTTAAGTAGCACGATTTTTTTGTAAGGGAACAGGCTTTAATACCAATGAAATATCTATTATTTTTTAAATTTTTTCCTGTAAAATTTGAATTTTTCCGCATAAAAAATAAAATACAAAAATTAGAATACAGAGAGAACACCGATATAGTGCCGATAAATGTCGATAACGTCAACGGCGATGCCAAACTAGCATTTTTACTTGGTTTTAAAACCTCCACGCCAACGAGAATAGGCACGAATATAGTTAACCTAATTTCGCACACTGATAAAAATTCGTCAAAATTATTTTTAACATTAAATTTCAAGAGTGTATGAACATGTTAAAATTAGGTAGGGAAGTGTGTACATACATATACATATATATTACAGCAATGGTGAGTAACGGAAAATTATTCCTCTATTCAAAAAGTTTGCTGAAATATTTTAAAATAAATAATTTTTTGTTTTATACATGTACATATGTATACATACAAATACTCGCGATAGGGGAAAAATACGTTAATAGTGCTCTGCAAGCCACAGACGTGGTCACCCAACCAGACAGTTGGTTGCAGAGGAGCCCTCGCCTAGGCACGTCATGAGGCATCTCTACGAATTAACGGACGAAGTCCAGAGGTTCCTTAAGCAACCCCTGGACCTGTCAGCACATCGACAGGCCCTGAACGGCATTCACAGGAAGTCAGTCTCGAGTTATGTAGACTCCAGACCTGTGAATGCCGTTCTAGGCACACAACCACCGGACATTGACGAGACGCAGCTTCATCTGCCTCGGGAGACAAGATCCGCAATAGCCCAACTTCGCTCTGACTAATGCAGCAGGTTAAACTTATACC